TCCAAAGGAGGAAGTTCCTCGCGCATGCACATCCGAACACGGACTGCACTGCAACACAATGTCTGCCGTGCACGTGCACAGCACGCGGCTACCACCCGTTGGTAGATCTAATACCGAGCACCTTACGTAGAGACTTACGTAGCCTAAGTTAAATACCGAGCACCTTACGTAGAAACTTACGTAGCATAGCGATGTCGTTTTTCTTGCCATGTGAACACAATAATAGAAAAGCTGACAGGATCGCTTTTCTAAATATTGTTATTCTATTAGTGAAGGAACTGAAGTACAAGGAAAGAGAGCTCGCATTCTCGGACGTCTAGTCCAGCACAGCAAGCATGCAAAACAGCCCCGAGCCAGGCACGCATGCAAAACAGCCCCGAGCCAGGGACGTCTAGTCCAGCACAGCATGCATGCAAAACAGCCCCGAGCCAGGCAAGCATGCAAAACAGCCCCGAGCCAGGCACGCATGCAAAACAGCCCCGAGCCAGGCACGCATGCAAAACAGCCCGAGCCAGGCACGCATGCAAAACAGCCCCGAGCCAGGCACGCATGCAAAACAGCCCCGAGCCAGGCACGCATGCAAAACAGCCCCGAGCCAGGCAGGCATGCGCCTTATTGCATCTATGTATACAGCAGCAACGCAGCATTTCACGGTCGACTTCTAGAAGGCCAAACCGTCCACACTTGTCAGTACTCATTACTCCGTCATTAGTCTTGTCTTGTCTCCCCTGCAAGATGCGTTGTCGGCGTGGCCATTGCTCCGAGATCAGTGGCAGTGGTCGGATGAGCTGCACAAACCGCATCCACAACCTGTCGCCACTGTTGCCATGTACTTCACTGAGTTTAGTTAGCCCTCAAGTGATGTTCTGATGATACGCTTTTGACCAGGGAGTCGTAAAATACCGACTTTACGACTCCCTGCTTTTGACTTCCCTCCGCGTCTAGGACAGCACACATACATATGTGGGTAATTATTTTACAGGTCTTGTTTTAATTGGTTAGCGCCAGACGGTGCGCTTGTGACGATGTGACGTACCGGTATGTGTACAAGCAAGAGTAGGCAAACTCTTGGTACAACTACAAGTCATGGTATTATAATTATAACCTAATACTAGTTCAAAAGTAGTATGTGGCGTCTCCACTCAGTCACAGGACCCCGGCAATCAAATTTATTGTTTTCCACTGCTTTTCTCATTATATTTTATCGTTGCCTTATTTGCATTACACGCCGTACTAACGAGTTGTCCAAAGTGTCAACCGCTGGTACTACTACGCATTTTACGGTAACGTTGTACCGTAGCGCATCATCCCTTTTACGGTTGCCATTTTCTTCTCTCCTCTTTTTGGTTTTCTCTCTCGGTCCTAGTTTTTCCCTTTTAGTTACTCAAGAACTCCTTCCAGAATAACAATGCTTTTTCTCCTCTGGAATTTAGTGGTCTGAAGTCGCGAAACCGTCTAAAACTCCCGGTTTGTTACCTCATTATCCCACATTGGTGACCCCGAACGAAGGAGCACATCCATCGCTAGCTCACCGCACACTCCTCAAGTTGACGTTTTGTGTGTTTCTTGTCTCAACGGTCCATTGGTGTTGCAGTGTAACACGTACTCCTTACACAATGGATAGTAGTCCCGGTGACGTTGATGCGTCCGCCCAGGCTGGTGTGGATAACACCAGTGGCAGCAGCAGTGGCAGTAGCAGTAGCAGTGGCAGTAGCAGTGGCAGTAGCAGTGGCAGCAGTAGTAGCAGTAGCCGTGGCAGTGGCAGTAGCAGTGCCAATGGCAGTAGTAACAGTTCTGCAGCACCGAATACCGGTAGTACTTCACTCAGCAGACCCGCAGAGGTCAGTGCAGTCAGTATTAAGCCACCACCTTTCTGGCCTACGGACCCCAACCTCTGGTTCGCCCAGGTAGAGGCCCAGTTTGCCACTCGTGGCATATCTGCTGAGCTTACCAAGTTCAATTATGTAATCTCATCTTTATCGCAAGAGTATGCGCATGAGGTTCGCGACATTTTGTTGAGGCCACCAACCGTCGAGCCCTACACGCACCTCCGGGCGCAGTTGATAGCTCGCCTGAGTGCCAGTGCACAGAAGCGGATTCGCCAGCTTCTTACGGATGAGCAGTTGGGCGACCGCAAGCCGACACAGTTACTCCGGAGTATGCAACGCCTCCAGAGCGATACACCCCTGGACAGTGACTTACTACGGGAACTGTTTCTCCAACGGCTACCATCTAACGTACGGATGGTCCTTGCGTCCGCCAGAGATCTGCCATTAGAGCAGCAAGCTAAGTTGGCCGACAACATTATTGAGATGGCCACCCAACCACCCATCGCCGCTGTGCCCACAGGCTATCAATCTATGCCAGCCACATGTGCTGTACAACCTGCTGGACACTCCACCACCGTGCAATCTCAGGACATCCAGTCCACTATTGCCACATTGGTCAGCCAGGTGTCGGAGCTGAGCGCTGCCGTTTCTCAGCTTTCATGTAGCCGTTCCAACTCTCTGTCCGAACCCCGTTCCCGTGCGCAGAGCTTCTCACGACGGGAATCTGGCCTGTGCTGGTATCATGCCAGATTTGGAGCTAAGGCCACGAAGTGTACATCCCCTGCACCTACGCGTCGGGAAACGGATCCGCCAGCCACTGATGGCGACCGGTGGTTCTGGCAGTCTGATGTTCGTCCTCAACCGACTCTCGGGACAGGGTTTTCTGATTGATACTGGCGCTTCCGTGAGTTGTATTCCGCCCTCTGCTGAGGACCTGCAGCGCCCCCTAGGCCTGCCTCTCCAGGCTGCAAACCAGACATCCATCCGGACTTATGGTGATCGCTCTTTTTGAGGTCAAAGAGAATGATTTTATTTCTTGCGCATGCGTTTGTAGAATGACGTAATACTCAGTGAATCAGGTCGCGACAGTACTCCCCCGCCAGTGGTGAGGTCGGGAGGAGCGAAGCACGATAAACAAGAAAGAGAAGAGAAAGGAAGCGCAGCATGCACAAGGCGGAAAGGCAAAAATATAATAATATGATACATATGTACAAGCGAGAGCGCTGCGTGTGTGAAATTTGTTAAACAATGTGGCACAAATGCCGAAACAAAAATCAGAAAAGCAGGAAAGAGAGAGATGCATGACAGAGGCGGGTTAACGTGTCAGAGGTGTGTTAACGTGACAGAGGTGGAGAGCATGTCAGAGGCAGAAAGAAAGAAAAGAGGAAATGTACGCGTCACAGAGGAGTATTATCGTGTCGGAGGCGGAAAGAAAGGAAATGTACGCATGACAGAGGAGTATTATCATGTCAGAGGCGGCTGCATGTTGCAGGCTTGGCGGGATACCAGCAGGAGCGCTGCACTGGGACGAGGCGTGCCGAGTGCGGCGGGGACAGATGGAGGCGAGCGCAGCTCCATGGGGTCCGGTGCCGGGCGTGTGCCTGCGTGCGTGCACAGTGAGGGAGCTGGTACGACGGGTGGAGGTGGCCAATTTCCAGCTTGAGGCCACCGGGACGAATACGGGCGACGACGACTGGACGATGCCATGGCAGGATAGCGGGGTATCCAGGTGGGCCGGGGAGGGTGGCAGGGGCCACAGCAGCACCGAGGCGGATCCAGTGATGGTGAGGCTCAAGTTTTACGTCAACAGCCGGCGATTGACGGGATCCCTAGAGTTGAGGCCAGCAGGAAACTGCGGCGGGCCGAGATCGGGGATGGCATGCTCAAAACTCCGAAGAGCGCAGCGTCAGGGGTCACCAATATAGGGTTTTACGTCGGGCCCTAGACGACGGCTACTTTGGCCAACCGGACAACGAAGAAGTTGTGACCAAAGAGCTTTGGGTTGTCCGTCAATGTGTCGGCCGAGTGTTTGTATGATGGCACCACCTCCCTCAACACCATACTCCCGATCTAGCAACTCGTCTCTTGCACCGCTTTCTCTGCTGCCTACCCCTACCGCTTGTCCTTATGCTACACTGCTTGCCCGCTATCCGTCAGTTGTCGGCCCTTGCAATGCTGAGCTACCGGTCCGTCACTCTGTGGTCCATCACATCGTGACCCGTGGCCCCCGGTACATGCTAAGGTTCGTCGGTTCGCGCCCGACCGTCTCACAGTTGCTAGGCAAGAGTTCAAACAATCATATGTTGCAACTCGGCATTATCCGGCCCTCATCTAGCCCATGGTCTTCGGCTCTGCACATGGTGCCCAAGAGTTCTGGTGACTGGCGGCCCTGCGGGGACTATCGGGCTCTGAATGCTGCAACTATCCCTGATCGCTACCCGGTGCCACACCTGCATGACTTTGCAGCATCTCTGCATGGCAAGACCATATTCTCCAAGATTGATCTGAAGAAAGCCTATTACCAGATTCCTGTTGCTCCAGACGACATCCCGAAAACGGCCATCACGACGCCATTTGGGTCATTTGAGTTTCTTCGGGTGCCTTTTGGCCTTCGAAACGCTGCACACAGTGCACAGCGCCTCATCGATGAAGCTCTCCGTGGACTCCCGTTTGCCTATGCCTACATTGACGATGGGTTGGTGGCATTACCCCACACATTTACATGAAGACAGTTGACCCAGGTCAAATACTGATTACCGTATTATTATTTTTTTCACGTGACCATCTGAGACTTTTATTACAAAGCACGAAGAAGTGTAAAATTGATTATGCCACCAAAAGTCCACTTCTACAGTCCTGTATGGTCACGTGAATCCGTTCACGCGAAATTTGCATCTGCAGTGCTGTTCAAACCTGGCGCGAGATACGCACAGAAGTACGTTTGTAAGATTTTCTTGAAATCAACCCGGGTCAAGCGCAATGCGTCATGTAAACGCGCCATTCATTTTGTGTACATGGCGGGTTGAAATCTGACCCGGGTTGAAACGCTTCATGTAAACACAGCCTAAATATACGTCAGGTAAAGTTCCGTACTAGCCAGGCAGGGATACTACACATGTACGTGTAGTTCTCAACAAGTAATAGTTACAAGCTAGCACTAAGACATACCAGTAACAATGTAAGTGAGCATTTCATCAAGTGCTGCTATAAGTTTGTACACACACTTGAGAGGAATCAAAAGCGTTTCTGCTGTAACTCTGAGTTTCACGCATAACATAATGTTGCGGTGCGACTTGGTCCCGCAACTAACCATCGTCAGGCAGACCACAAAAACCCAGAAACTCCTTTAATCGACATTACCACTCGTTTCAACAAGAACACCAAAGAACACACCGAACAACGATCGCCAAATCGCTGTCCTGAGCAAAACCGTGCAGCGTGCGTGCATTTGGCTTGCGCCGCATGCATACACACAACGCCGTACATATGTACGTGGCATAAGGGAGGTTCTGCTCTACGTTTTGGGAACGCGACGCAAAGAATCACGCGAACTTTCTTCGCGTTCCCGTAACGTAAAGAAATCCTGTTCTAGAATTCTGCTTTACGTTTCACCTAGAGAAGTCACTTGGAATATACCCCTTCCATATTTGGCAGTTTTCTGCATGCAGTTGATCGATACCCAGCAAATCCGTACGCATTTACCCTGCGTGTGCCACAACGTAGAGAACCTCATCTCCGCGTAGAAATCTGGAGCCAAAACACACAAAGCCGTAGACTCTAACCCAGACACCTGCTCTCTATGTGATTTCTCTACGTTTCACGTATAGCAGAACCTCTCTTATATAGAGAGAAAATGCAACGTACAGAAAATGCATGGATCATAGCAGCCATAGAGATACTAAATATGGCGACTGCCAAAGTCCGCGTGCAGCTAGCGCGGAGTGCAGGTGCAACGAAAAGAAAAACAATAATTTGAATGCAGAACAAACAGAAACTCGCAATCTGCTGAAGTGAAAGAATAAAGAATTGTTGATTACGGAGGTAAAAACAGTGTCTGTCAAGGGGTGCTTGCACCCAGCGACAGGGTGACAGCACACCCTGTCAGCGAGAGTAAGTTTCGCCAAGTACGTTAAGTAGATCGTAGCGGAGTTGCCGCGGATGGCGATAATGCAACCGATCAAGTAAGTGACATGTACATGGCAACCAATTAGTGAGTCAACAATTCTACTTATATAATAAATTAGCACAATTCACAAGATATTCCGCTCGTGAACATGTCGTGGTACGAACACGCATAGCAATTACTGTATCATAAAAAGTGTCTCGACGTAGACGTAACAGATATGCACTCGTGATGTAATTCTAACAGACTAACAAATAAATATTACACTCGCGAAATGCATAGCAGTAATACGCACCGCACCAATATTGCAAGGGACCTAGCATGTCTTGACAATACTGCCCGTGCAGCATGTGACAGTTCTGTACACAATTCGTAACTACAATACACTAATATAGTATCAACGTGCAACATGTGACAATTCTAAAGATTAATGTTCAAGAGCGAAGTCTCCTGTCCACATAACGTAGCTAACATTTGGCAAATGTGACTAAGGAAGAATGGATTTGATGAATAGCATAGCCAGTCAGTAAGATCGAGAACACACAACGGAGAGAGAGAGAGAGAGAGAGAGAGAGAGAGAGAGAGAGAGAGAGAGAGAGAGGGAGGGAGGGAGGGAGAGAGAGAGAGAGAGAGAGAGAGAGAGAGAGAGAGAGAGAGAGAGAGAGAGAGAGAGAGAGAGAGAGAGAGAGAGAGAGACAGAGAGACAGAGAGACAGAGAGAGAGACAGAGAGAGAGACAGAGAGAGAGACAGAGAGAGAGACAGAGACAGAGAGAGAGAGAGAGAGAGAGAGAGAGAGAGAGAGAGAGAGACAGAGACAGAGAACAGTACCAGTGCGTGCTGCGTGAAGTGCTTGACACCTCAATCTGTGATGGAGCAAACAGAGATACAAAGACGATCACATAATAGTATACACCAGAGCTAGAATGGATTGGACGCATGCACATGCACACACACACACATACATACACACGTACACACACACACACACACACACACACACACACAAACACACACAAACACACACACACATACACCCTGAATCCACACTCATGCACACAAATTAAAAACATTTCTGGTGTTTTAAGATGCGACTAGCACTCCGGAAAATATGCTATATAGTAGTACATGCGCTCCAATTTTCCAGTCGTCAGAAACTTTGACTTTTCTCCAATTTGATTCATGCATAACGGATACCTCAACAGTATACTTTCTATCACAGCTGGGACAATATCTGATAAGAAACACAGCATCGCAGCCAAACAACAGACGTACGTTGCAATGACTTATTTTGAATTCAGGTAGTGCAAGAAATGAATGCAACCTACCGTTTACACACGGGCCCGTCGTGGCAGAAGCTGGTTCATCTTGTCGACCTTGTCGGGATAGTTACCCCAGAGTTTGATGACCATCACTAGCTTGACGTAGCCGGCCTTTTCCTCGCTGCTTAGAATGCTGACCAACTCTCCGTTGTGAGTGCGTGTTCCATCTAGTTTCTCAATCCTCTTCAAGTCTTCTATCTGCTGCAGATCGGCGAATAACCCGGCCTCTTGCGCCATTTTACGAAATGTTCCCGCTGTTTATTTGCCCAACCAAGGCGAAATATCGGTTAGAAAGACACGCTGCTGGAATGGGTCGCCGTACGACTTCTCATCCTCGTCTAATCAAGATATACATGGGATAAAAACACACACATGAACGAACATACGAAAATGATTAACAATTCACAAATCACAATAAGGGTTTTTCAACATCTTGCCATACCCCAATCGGATTCAATACCCAATAGGTGCCAAATTCATTCCGGAAAATTGCCGTACGCCCTACAAATGGAAGCTGTTCGGACCACAACTTCAGTTTCCCTTCATCAATTTTGCAATGAATCTCAGGCATTCTGGAAAGCTACTGCCCTACTGCCATCGCACTACTCCTCCTAGTCCTACTGCTTGCTAGCTAGCTACTTAAAGCCCTCAGATTGGCCTGATGCCAGCTGGGCTGCCAAAACCACGGAAAAAACTATGGAGCTGGAAAAGTCCCAACTGGCCTCTGCCTGTACAGCCTACTGCTTTTTACTTACCCACTGGATCAGCAGCAGATGCTCCTGCAGATGCTAATGCGGCCTCAGCAGTACTGCCGGGCTGCCCGGAACTTGTCGACGGGTTCCAGCTTGGCCAATAACCTTCTCGCGCTGGCTGGTGGCTCGACTTTACGGATGCATTCAAGGAAGGTGTGGAAGGATTCGTCATCACCAGTGCTTAGTGCATCGAGCAATTCCTCATTCTGCGCTGCACGGCCAGTGTTTGATGCAAATAGCTGACGCTGTGCACGCGTGATCAACTTCTTAGCCTCACACTGGCGACGCATATCACCTGGAGTTAGCGTGGAAACCAGGTCAGGCCGAAGTTCTGTGAAGACGTCACTCTCCCATGCTGTCATGTCAGAGAGCTGTTGTTCAAGGACACCACTTTCACCAGCGCTGTGATGACCGCTTCCTGGAGCACCGTGACCACCGCTTCTACTGTCCACACTGGCACAGGCTTCTGCTGCAAGGAAACAGACGGCGTGCCATTGGAGTGGCCAAGAGACATGCACACACACACACACGCACACACACACACACACACACACACACACACACACACACACACACACACACACATGCAGATGCAACGGATACATGTACACACACAGGTGGGCACGCACACACGGTTTGTTGCAGAAGTTTATTGTCGCCACTGAAACAAACATGGTTCATTTCGTACTCGGACGAAAACCTCACTCCTCCAAAATGAACACAGTTTGCAATGCTGGACACCACAAATCAAGTGCATGTACACGTAGTGCATTGTAGAGCACCCTCCTCCTCCTCTGCCACGAACAATTTTCGCTTCAGGGCGACAAAATATGACAGCGACCCCATAGCAATTCTATGACAATGTAATGTCAGTTGTCCAGGGCCCAAAACAGAGTCAGAACTGCAGTGTTGGCTGGGATCAAACACCAGCTTGCGGTGAGAAGAGGCTCAAATTTTACATTCTATCCACACCAGATATGGTCCTGTGCTCATGCAGTGTTCAATACCCGAACGGGAATAGCAACCTCAAAACGAAAATAGAACAGCGCACCGGTTTCCTTGCGACTAAAGGTTCACACGAATGCGGACATCATGCAAAACATCATTTGGAAGTAGCAGATCTGTTTGAATTGTGCATCCAACTAACCTGAAGGAAGAGAGGTCGATCTCGGCTCAAACAGCCTTCCACATGCATCCTGCAGGTATTGCAAGAGACCAAGTACACGCAAGCACATGCCCACGCCCACACACGCACACACACACCCGCACTCACGCACACACCCGCACACACACACACACACACACACACACACACACACACACGCCCACCCATACCCGCACGCGCACACGCACACACCAGCACGCACGCGCACGCACACACACACGCACACACAAATACATGTAAATACACACGAGCAAAAGCACACATGCATGCAAACACGCACACGCACAAGCCATAATTGCCGAAGTCAGAGTAGGCTCAAAATGGTTATTTCCTCATCCACATGACGGGAATACGTGGCAAGGTAAAGAAAATAGAGGCATGGTGCAACTTTGTGTATGTGAAGAACTCTCCTCCTAAACAGAGATAACACAGAATTACAACAAGGCCTGGTGGAACTTGTCTCATGGTTCGTGCCCCCCCCCCCCCCCCACAAAAACATAATATTATGAACTAAAGCTAGCGGCAGGCGCTACTAACGTAATGTCTTTTGCATAGCTGCGCGAATTCAATCAGGTCAAGTCTCTCACCTGGTCAAGGCCCAGCCAGAACATGGCCTGCTCACGGATCATCTGTATATCATGCTTTGAACGTGTACACAGTGGGTAGTCTTCAGCCACTAGGGTGGACGCGTCCAAGGCATGCGCACAGCTTGGTGCGCAGCACGTAGATAAGCCATGCTGTAAACACTCCTCGCCCGATGTTTCTCCGCAGGGGCATGGCAATGTGCTGATCACTTCGACCTGCAGGCCCCACTTCCGTAGCACTGTGCGCACGATTGCCCGGACGTCATCCAGCGTAGACTTTCCGCTGCCGCCGTGTCGGCCCTCGCACTCGACGTACACTTGTAAGCCGTAGCGTGTATAGTGCAGGTGCAGCCACGGCCAATCGTTGTTCCAGCGAACGCGAACGCTGCACCGTGACAGCGTGGCAACCGAGCGATTGTGTGACTTCAGCAGCACCTCCACCACGCATTGCCAGTACAGGAACACGGGAAAGTGCATCAACTCATCGCGGTGTGCGTGCTTAAAGGACACGTAGGCACAGGAACAAGGCAGCTGGGGGTCCGTGCCCATGTCCCGGACGATTGCAGGTACAATAAACTCGTGCTCATCCTGCACAATTGCCAGGACTGAGAGCCATTCTAGGATTTCAAAAATGAGCTTGAACCCATCACTGCTTGCTCTGACTGCTTGCCACACCTTAGCATGGTCGCAGTAAGACTGACCCTCGAACATCTTGTTGAGAGCTTTGCGTGCCAGGGACTCCGTCATGAACCCAGACTTATAGCCCCGCGCTTCGTGCCTTGTGATGTCTCGGTCAAGCTTCATGTAGACAAAGGCATTGACACAGTCCAGGATGAACTGGGGCTCCAGGATGACCGTGTCTTTCAGCTTGAAAGTTGGGAAGTACGCCAGGTGGCCTGCTTCATGGCAGTACTTCAGCAGCAGCTGTATTTGCCGGTCACTGCAGTCATGTGGAACAGCCTTGACTTGCTTCGCTATGAACTTTGCCTCCTTGAAGGAAATCCAAGGCCACGTGACCTCCTGCTTGAGCGTGTGTATGGTTATGCAGAATCGGAGCCATGGCACAGGGATGTTACGTTGGCTCTTCCGGCAGCGGTCGATGATGGCCTCTCTCAATAGCTGCAGCTCATCTGCTTGTGCTGCACTTCCAGTGGATCTGGTGCTGTCGATTTTGAAGTACGATGATTCATTCCAGACAAGGTACTTATACGGTGAACCTTCGATATTCTTTCGAAGTAGTTTACAAGGATCAGGCAAATCGGTTTTCTTCCACATGTCACTCTGACAACCCACTACAAACACATCATCTGCAGCACTCTGGTCTGTGCTGCTGTCAGCTTTCGCATTCAGCAGCAGCATGTCGAGCCAGCTTAGCAGCTGGTCTAGGCGAGTCGCATTGGCCGGTAGAGTGGCCCGCTCGATACATTCTTCCTGGCTGAACTGAAATTTATCGAGCTTGGGAAGGGTCTCTAGAAGGTCCAGAGAAGAGTTGTATGTGGCAATAAAGGTTGTGTTTTTGGCCATGAAGAGGGGCTGCACAGATTGGTAGACTTGCTGCCCTCCAAGGTCACGGAATGTGATGACGGTATAGTGGGGCGTGTTGGCCCGGTCAGAGATGTACTTTACCCGGTCTGCGTTGAGAAATCCTGTGATGGTCTTGTGGATTTCCTCGCGCATTGCTGGCCCGTCGCTGCTGCTGCTACTGCTGTCCTCCATAGGTCCTGCATGGGTCCCAGCCACAGGATCCTCTCCTGCTGGGGCTCTCTCTCTGTCATCTTGTGTTGTCTCTTTGTCTTGGGGATGATTCGAAGTGGATGGTTTGCACATCATGGTGATGACGTAGAGTCGACTCAGAGCATCTGGCATGTCTGGGCATTCGATGAATCGACAGTCATCAGAGATGCTTGTAGTTGCGTAGGACGTGCGCATGCCGGGCGTGCTGGGTTCATTCTCATCGTGCATCTTCTCAAGCAACGCCTTCAGCAAGCTGGTCTTTCCAACGCGCGCCGCACCAAGTATTGCCACGTGCAGGAAACGGATGACGGTCGTACCGCCCAACCTGGCTGCCTCCTGCTCTGCTGCTTCGAGTTCACTGATACTTGGCAGAACAGCAGTATCTCCTGGGCACAACGATAAGCACAGCACACATAAAAAAATGTTGTGTAACTGCAGGTGACATTTATAGTTTGTTGTTTCTTTTGTATTACTAGCAAGAAATCATACAGTACAGGCAACAGGAATGCAAAACAAGTGAGAGTGCATCTTCACTGCATGCACTCGTATTATGAAAAAGCCCGCTTGCCTCGCAATATTACGGTCACGGGTGTGTCTGAAAGTCATTGCTTCCCGCAGAATAACCACTCCATCACCGGAATATTGGCAGTCAGGAGACACCTGTTATGGTGTTGCTACAGTTGAGGCACTGGGCTTTATAGAGTCCAGCGGCGTCACACACGGTACCACTAGCACCACCACGCTTGTACCACTTTTCGCCCCGGATGCTGCGCCCAATTCATCCAAAAAAACAAGCAATAAAAGAGCACTAAAATGTGCCCTGTTCACCCAAAAATCACTATTTACCAATGTTGCAACAAATAGCAAAATCGCGAACAAATATTCTAACAAATATGCACAGTACGAAAAAATATTCTACTATTCTACCCTTACAGACGAGCCCATTTCAGCACACTGTGCTTCCTTGTTTATTTGAGCCAGCGCGTGCTAAGACATGACCACAGCGTTTGTGGAAAACGTCGAGAAAATCGTGATTTGAATTCCGCGACAACAAAATACGAAGTGGAGTGCGACGCGAGTTGCTGTTCTTGTTCTCCTCGGTAGACTGGACTGTTCTGGATGCAACTCTTTGTTGCAAGTACATGAAAGTTTATTCGTTTGAGTTTGGATTCCATGTTGCACTGAGTCTCCTAAAACGGATCGTCAACGGTGTATCGAAGGAAGAGGCTAATGTACTTCGGAGCGGAAGAAGACGACATCCTCGCGTTCCATGCGCAGGATGAATTATTTTGTTTTTGTCTCTCAAAACTCTCCTACACGGAGCTAGCTTTACGATCCGATATCACAAATTTCTACTGACTTGAAATTAAGTAAAGCGGACTGATACGATTCGAAACTAACCGGGAACTGCTACAAACTACGAAGAAGAACATAAGTATTTCTTGCGAAGGTGCAAACTACAAATGGCGCGTAGCTCAAACTTTTGATGCCATTCAACGAAAAGTGTAGTGGATAGTCACTACTGGAGGGTTCATAAAGGCACACTTGTCTGTTGTGAAGTCGGGGTTCGCCCCGTACATTGCATTTTGTATGGCAAGACAATTTCTGAAAATGCAAAAATGGGTTACGGGGTAACTGGTTCCCATGCTCCCCCCCCCCCCCCCCCCACTATTATGACCTGGCTAGAACCCTGCCATCATATCTTCTTGCTAATGGTATTACTTGGGGACATACAGCTCTATTGCTTCCAACTGGACATTTGCTTCGTTAGTTGCTGCTCATCATGAGCAAGTTGCTGCTAGCGGCCTAGCATTGCTTGCCAGCTCTTCGAGCTTTTGCATTATGAGACCAGTTACTCAAAGTAACACATTGTTTCCAAGGCCAGTCCTTGTTGCCCTGATTGAGTGTGAATATGTGAGGGATTGGATGCTAAATAGTATTCCAATCAGTGATGCACACTAACCCATTTTTCAAGAACGAATACTCTATCGAATACCAAATCTTCGAACGAACGGGTAATCTAGTGTTCGTTGAAATTTCTTAACGGCCCACAAACTTCTGCATTGCGTCTGTGCTTTTTGCCTGGGATACCTTCGCATCCGTGACAGCTACAGCCGTCGAGCAAGTAACACGCCGTCGGATAAGATGTTCCCGCATTGAGCTCGTAGTCAAGCCATTGAACTTGAGTTTGCATTGAACTTTTGCGCCTCCATCAACTTTCTCGAAGTGCTCCTAAACGGAGCTGCTACGACCAGCTGTGCCAGAAGCCATCACGAAAAACGAACTGGATGTCCAGAACGTTCTTCAAAGTGAAAGAGAGGGGTGAGTTGGACCGCACTAAAGTAGTAAAGAAGAAGGCACCATGGGCTCCCAGCTCGCAACAGTACAGTGTGGGTACTGTACTCGTACAACTACACGTGCCCTTCGCAACTGTACTACAGTGCCGGCACTCTATTGTTACTACTACTAACTGTCTGGCGAGCGCTCACACATCCCGGATTCGTCAAGTACACGTACGGTAACCGCTGTACTGTAATCTTTAGCAGCGGCCCTAGCTCTACTGCCGCTAGCGCAGGGTCCACATGTACTCGTACAAAACTAGCATGCATGCCACACATAGAACATGATTGTACAGCTCTTCGAACGAACTTTATTACTATTCGACTATTCGTGTGCATCACTGGTCATGTCTCGTAACTTTTTGGCGGAAAAGAAGTTTGAGAATTGATTTGTCACTTACCTGCCTGCAGCTGTTTGGCCTCCTTCATAGAGAGTCAGAAAAAAACAGAGGCACAAATCACACATATGTTTTAGACATGCTCTCTCTCTCTCTCTCTCTCTCTCTCTCTCTCTCTCTCTCTCTCTCTCTCTCTCTCTCTCTCTCTCTCTCTCTCTCTCTCTCTCGGTGGTGGTCGTTCGTTCGTTTGCCCTCGCTGGGCAGTATAATTTAGGCCCTAGCGGGCAGTATGCTTTTCCCTTGGCGGGCAGGTTGTCGGCCTCGGTGGCTGTTCGTTTGCTCAATAGGCAATATGATGTATCCCTCGGTGGGCAGTGTATAATCGGCCCATGGTGAGCAGCATGCTTTGGCCCTCGGTGGGTACTACGCTTTATCCCTTGGCGGGAAGTTTGCTTTAGCCCTCGGTGGGCAGGCTATTGGCCTCGACGGTCGTTGTGTGCCCTCGGTTGGGCAGTATCCTTTAGCCTTCGGTAGGCAGGTTGCTGGCCTCGGCGGCCGTTCGCACGCCCTCGATTGGACTATACGCTTATTCTTGCGCCCTCGGTCGGGCTATAATCATGCGCCCTCGGTCGGGCTGAAATCATGCGCCCTCGGTCGAGCTATAATCATACGCCCTTGGTCGGGCTACAATAATGCGCCCTCGGTCGAGCTATATTCATGCGCCCTCGGTCGGGCTATAATCATGCGCCCTCGGTCGGGGTACAATCATGCGCCCTCGGTCGGGCTATAATCACGCGCCCTCGGTCGGGCTATAATCATGCGCCCTCGGTCGGGCTATAATCATGCGCCCTCGGTCGGGCTATAATCATGCGCCCTCAGTCGGGCTATAATCATGCGCCCTCAGTCGGGCTATAATCATGCGCCCTCGGTCGGGCTACAATCATGCGCCCTCGGTCGGGCTATAATCATGCGCCCTCGCTTGGACTATACGCTTCTTCGCACGCCCTCGGTTGGGCCGTATGCCTTAACCCTTTGCTGGTCTAACTCAATGTATCTGAGGGGTGGTCACGCAAATACTTGGTCCGACTTATTAAAATGTGCGCTTCACTTCAAAACTCAAGCATATGTACAAACGAGCACCTGTACTATAAAATCAACCAAGAGACGGTAGATAGATAACTACTGTGTCGTTTCTTGGCCTGACCTTCTAGTTTTCATCGCTGCTGGTGTCTCAGGGCGCATCTGCAAGTGCGTCAACCTGCAAAACGTCGACATTTTTTTCATCTCCTCCAAGCTACACTGCGCTTCTTTGATTTTTTCACTCCATAGGCACGATTTACACGATCGACTTCGCCTCCTCCTCGTGTAGTACGACTATCAGAATGGTGGCTGTAGGTGTTTTCGCCTGAAGCTCCCACGACACCTTCAAATGAGGCGAACAAGCAAACCACCACGCATAAAAAAATCACTTCTGACCATGTACCACCGTGTACCGCGCGCGTACTGAGTCTGAACTGTGTCGACATGTCATGCAGTCAGACCATGCGTGCTCTTCCATGCCTGTTTCACGAATCCACTGGCCCCGGAGACTGGCGATCTTGTGACCCATCGCGATCGCGGCTCCGCGCGCGGATCCGAGGACTCCGCACCGTATCCGCCGGATAATTCACTCTTTCTGCGCTTCAGTTTTCCAGCCAAGTTGTCGCCTGAAAGTCGACTTCAAGGCCGGTTATTTATTTCGATCAACTTCTCGACGATCTCTTCCGTGATCTTGATTCGTCGGCTGCCACATCGTGAACGACTGCGAGAGAGATCAGCAAACTGGACGAAGCGATGCTGGTGCTTTCTGCACGAGTTCCTGGATGACGCGTTTGCTGAAATTCAGCCAAGGAAACAGCGATTGCAGCGATTTCAATCCGCCAGGAGGCACTCGAGAATGATCGCCCAGGAGGTTCTGGTATTCCGTGACAATCCCCCATCGCAGCGGGGTGTTGATTTCGGCACCAGGCCTTCTCTGTGTAGCGCGAGAAGCAACAGGAGTCCTCTGACGACAAAATTTGCACGTAAAATGCTCGAGTCGACTAGGATCCTGAGCCGCTGCCTCCGTTGAAGTTGGAGCCATTTCTTCTTCAGCATCACAAATTGACAACCGAAGGATAGTGTTAGGTAGCTGGAAAGTTTATTCCGTCCTGAGATTATTTGAATTTGTTTGGTTGACGTTCGAAGCGAAACGCACATTTTAATAAGTCGGACCAAGTACATGTACACACAACCAGCAATAACTCAAGAACCATGTGATGTAGGTATGGGTAAACCATATATTTTCAAAATCTGTATGCCTGAACGCTTCCAGAAAATTCAAATATGACTAGGTCCAGGCAAGGATAGGGCCCATGGTAGCCCTTCAAGCTGAGAGAAAATACAATTGCGAATGAAATACACGAATATCACAGCACAAAGGGCATACCAAGTTCGTGATGGAGCTGAAGTCGTACGATAAACAATCAGGTAAGGGCTACGTCTTTACAAGAAATGTAGGCTCTCTACAATACCGCCATAGAACACCAACACCTCGCCATCGGCGATACGCCAGCAGCAGCAATTCCCATTCCACGACATCGCAGTTTCGGTTTGTTCATCTCAGCGCTGCTCGCGTCAGATCCACTCTCGCTCAGATGAGTACTCTGGCGCGAGCTTACGCATGCCGTGATTCTCACGGCCAGGCGAATCAGCTGATCGCACCTGACGAGTCCTTGTGACAGTCGCTGTCGCCGTGTCGGCAGCAAGAAGGCTTCCTCTCTGTTTGGAGAATTTTGTTTCTTCATTCGTGGACGATATATTTTTGAACTAGCAGGACTCAACGGAGCTCTTTTTCTCAACACACTACACTGCAAAACCTCCCGGGAGATCCAGCCTCGACTGGTGATGTTACTGCTCTCAGAACGCTTGTCAAACACGGCCCCAAGAGATGCACTCGCATTCTTGAAATGCGCGAATGGCGGATGGTCGTCTTTTCCAATTTCAACAAACTTCAGTCGATCGATACGGCAAAAATTTGTATGGAAAGCATGGTTGTTTTGCACATCGTCAGAAAGCCTTGGACCTCAGCTACGCGTAGAGCGCCATTTTAGCTGTCTCCTAGCAACAAGACCCCAAAAAAATGAGGGCCAAACGTACCGATACTATAGTATCGGTACGCTTATGGTAGACCGGTAAAGGGTTAACTCTCGATGGGTAAGCTGTTGGCCTCGGCGGCCATTCATGCGCCTGCAGCGGGCAGATTACTGGCCACGTCGGCCATTTGTGCGCCCTTGGTGGGCAGTATGCTAACGGCCCACGGCGGGCAGGATTACTTAGCCCTCAGTGGGCTGGCTGTTGGCCTCGCTAGCCGCTCGTGTCACCGGTCTACGGTGGGCAGCTGCAGGCTAGCCATCGGTGGGCCGCTCGTGCGTTTGCCCCCGGTGGGCAGTGTGAATCACTGACAATCGAATGTGATGATGTGACTCAACTATTATCGATTGTTTTCTTGGAACTGGTCTATCATCACATACTATTATCTTTAATCAAATTGAAGTCATGGCAACCCCCAAACCTATGTGTTGATTGCTTGTGAGTGAGTGCGTGAGTACGTCGTTGTACGCACAGACGGGGCGTGGGAGTGTCTGCAATTATGTTTGTGCACATGAATGTGCGTGTGTGTGCGTATGCAGAAGAATGCCCGCAGACCTGGGTGTGTACCCGTCGGCCTGGGTTTTAAATTTTTAAATTCCCGTTTGAAAAAATATCCCACACACTACATTTGCAGCGCGCACTTTCAACATTGGCACTTTTGCTCGTGTGCAAAAGTATAATCGTGAGCACAAGGGCCCCGGCCAAGTTCAAAAATCAGTTGCAAGCGTGTGTCCAAGTTTATCGTATGCGAGTAAATATCCTTGGAAACGGTACGATAAATTTGAGTGGCCTACTTCCTAAGTTAACAAAAACTTCATGATGGATTTTGAGGGACAGGTTTGCACACAAACTGCTGTGAAATGAGTCGTAATCACAATCTTTCTCGGCCTTCCCTGGCATGCCATGAAAAAGGTACCATGCAAGGAAAGCGACCTTTCACAACAAGCGAGCGGAATCGATGGTTGAGCTGTGGCAACATAGGTGAGGACAGTAATGGCGAGCGGAATTGAAATATCACTGCTCCGAGGGGGTAATACGTTGTTTGGCCTCTCTACTACTCTAGCACTGAGTTTGAGAGCAATGGAACGGAGCAGCGAGCCCACACAATGAGCGAGTGAACAAGGAGGTGCTCCGATCGCACGGCGCAATGAAATAATTCTGAACTCAGGTTCTTGTTCAACCTGCGCAAAGCCCAAATTCGAATGCTGATGACAGTGCATTCTTTCAGAAGTCTGCAGTTCGACACAAGTCTCGTGGCTAAAGAAAGTCGACTGGACTTGCTAGCCGCTGCCGTTCAGTGCTGGCAGGGTATCAATCACAGAAAATGGAATCAGTTTGGCTGTGCCTTTAGTACTCCTTTACTCCTCGTTTCGCGGAGTTCTGGAGAGCAAAGATGAAACCAGGGAGTCGTAAAATATTTTTACGACTCCCTGGTGGAAACGAGTAATCACCACCGCGGCGGATCACGCAGCTTGAAAGCACACTTACTTCAACGACGGCGACATCAAGTTCAGCGAAGTGTGATCAAAGAAGCCGAGGCAAGGCTGAAACGAGCTGAACAACGACTCGAACAAGATGACGACTCGCGCGCAGCAGATGACGGCAGCGATCCAGGGTCAAAAATGAGTCGAGCAAAAGCGACGCAAACTGAACTATCTGCTCATTCTGCCAACAGTTTCTCTTGTAAAGATGCTGTACATAGGCTGAACTACCTTCGTCCAGTGATTTGCAGGCGATACAAACTGTTCTTGTCCTATTCTAAGCGTTTTCCTATCGATCAATATCCATCACGAAGTTTTTGTTAACGGAGGAAGTACTTTGTCCGCCAAGTTAAAATTGCCACTTATCTTCACTCTTGTCTCAAAACGAAAATACAAATATTCGAAGCATGCCACGATCAGAAAACGCTATGTATATGATACTTTACACGTCAGAAAGCAACTCAGCCGAAAATCCTAGCAAGTTACACATCCTCCTCACCACTATCTTCGCTGGAGGAAGAGCTCAAAACATTCAATCCAGACAGATGCTGCTCGTTTCATAGCTTGTTCCACTTCTCCTCGTCTCGAATCACGCTCAAAGGCAGTCACCTGTCGTGCATGTTATCTTGCCGCTCAGAAGCAAGACTCTCAAGACGCATCGAGCGCGTCCTGGAATCTGTACAAAAGTCTAGAGCTCGTACAGAGTCGAGCGTTTCTTTCGCAGTGCAATCAATGCCGCTCACACACCAATGGCCCGTGCAACCTCTTTTGGACAACCCCTAATGAAAACTGTACAAGCTCACGCGCCCACAGACTCGTAGTACATGCCTCGTACGGTATGACTCATCATCTCCAGAAAAGGCAACAAAACGAAACATTCCGCCATGGCCAGACCAAGCGGAGTTACACACTCTCGTGTTTATGTAATCTTGATCCCATAGACAGCTGTACAAATGTAGGACATGGTGGTGGTGGTAGGTGCACTTCACGTGACTCACGTGACACCTAGTCACTGCATAGTTCAACCAATCAAATGTACGACACGCTGCAATGTTTACTGTACACACACAGTACATCTAAATTCAGTCACCCACAGTCAAGTCTATTCAACATACCTTCGCACTCTCGTGATCCACCAGCAACTGCACACATCCCTCACGCTTCACTTGCCTGGCTACATCCAACGCTGTTCTCCCTTCCTGAGTAACTCAATAACACATCACAGGAACAACAGAAAATCATTTTTGAGAAAATTCGTTCCAATTTTACAAAAAACGAAAACACAACGAAGGCCAAGGACATAATGTACAACGAGACGAAATCAACCTCTCCACAAGACAACTTACATGTACAGAACAAGTCTCTCCTTCCTCAGCAACATTGCTACTCCATGCAGTTCGTGCCTCGACAAATTTGAATTTTTTTACAGATTTCTACTCGAACGAAAATATCCACGAGAGGAAGACGTCCACAGCGCCTGCTCCACGTCAGGAACAACAGCATGTCTTCTGCGTACTCGTTACAATAACAACAACCCTTCACTCCTCACTCGTTCCAACAGACACCATCAAACAGTCTACTCCTTCACAAACTGATTTCGAAAATATTCAAAAATTGAACCAGGGAGTGAATATGACCACGTGGCGATATTGTACGCATGATGTCATCGAGTACGGTATTGTACAACTGGTACACATTTCTGACAAGAGGAGAGTTGCGGTAGTTGTGTGTGAGAGAGAGAGAGAGCGAGGGGCAGAGAGAGAGAGAGAGAGAGAGGCAGGACAGGTGAGAAGGACGAGTAGAAACTGTTCACTTCACAACAACACACAATCAAATACTTACATCGTCACGCAGTGTGGTATCCAAGGTGACACCGTCACTGTCATGTGACAGCATCACCTTGACAACGTTGATCTTGTTCTCGAAGACTGCGCAGTGAAGTGGAGTCCATCGCTGTAGTGTAGAGAAAGAGAGAATGTGATGAGTATTGCTATACAACCATTACACTAACTACTACAACCACACACCGACACAGACCTGGACAACTAGAACAAACGCATCAACACACACATACACACACACACCTTGGTCCTTGGTAACACTGCCATCAAATGGTCACGTGTCCCCTGTGCAGGGGTCGACAGCACTGAGTTCAGCATTGGACCCAGAAACGCCGCTCTACTTCCTGGACAGGAAATTAGCACAGCTATGCAGGTCGAAACCACGGGATGACTTGCAGCAGCGACCGCAGCCGAGACAATGCGCTCTGCAGCAGGGCAGGGCAACCCTCTGTTTCCGGACCGAGTCTGCCGATGCCACAGCCGAGACCGACGCCACTTCAGCAGCCGAGTTGGAGAGACACTTATGCGAAGCTAGCCCGCCAGCACTCAAGAACCATCTCCCGCACGCATTACATAGTCGGCTGCCGGACTGCTCAGATATGGGCTTCCTCCTCTCGGCCAGGCACTTGTGGCGATTCTTGTATTTCTGGTGGGCGAAAGTACGCAGGCAAACATCGCAGAGCACAGAAGTGTCACGCTGAGCCGATCGCGGTACTGGTTGAGCGGAATACGCACTGCGCCATTTCCCACGCTCCTGGGCGAGGTCGTACCATTCCGTGTGGTCGATGTTCACTGCGGAGAGGTCAGCTCTGACAGAGTCTCGCCACCGTTTCCGAGGACCGCAAGCCGGCCTCGGCGGAAGGAGCGCACCAAACAGGAGCTGGCGCGGAGTTCTATCGCCGTCCATCCTAGCTAGATGGCCTAGCCACTCCAGACGGCGGCGAAGAACACGTGTGGTAATATCCACTGGATCTCGACGATTCTAGGCCTCCAGAATGGTCTTCCTGTTGATGTGGAAGTCCCAGGTGTCTCTTCTACCGAGGGCTAAGATTGCGGAAATGCAGCGAAGATGGAAGGCGGACAGCTCCGCAAGCTCGTTTTTCAGTGGTACCCAACACTCCGCTCCGTAAAGGAGAAGAGAAGCCACACATGCTTCATACACCATTCGCTTCGTTGCCAGTGAAAGATCGCCATCATCAAAGACAGATCGACGCAATGCTCCGAATGCCCTAGATGCTGACACTATTCGGGACCGAGTGTCCACTGCGGTGCGGCCACCAGTATGGATGATGGAGCCTAGGTAGCGAAAGTCATGCACATTCTCGACAATTTCCCCGCCAACCACCAATGGACGACGATCCTCCGGAGAAATGCCGAAGCCGACCGCCATTACTTTGGTTTTTGATAGGTTGATGGTAAGGCCGAAGCGAGTTGCGACGTCCATGAACCGGCTGAGCGCAAGTGTGGCACCATGGTGAGTTGTAGCAATAAGTGCCGAATCGTCTGCGAATTGACAGTCACGATGGATGTTGATTGTGTCAGTCTTCTGGCGTTTGAAAAGGAGAGACGGTCCAGAGTTAGAGGAGACGGGAAGTCCAATCTCAGGTATGTCCGCAACCTCACGCTGCCACAGCTGGAATACTGCCCACATGAATATATTGAACAATACTGGGGCCATACAACAACCTTGTCGAAGGCCATTTTGCACCTCAATAGGCTCGGCCTCGATGCCCGGGATCGACAGGTTTGCAGACATAGAGGTATGAAATGAGCTGATAATGGTAACCAGCTTGTCAGGTACGCCCGCCTTCCGGAGAATTTCCCACATGCACTTACGGGTGACGGAATCATAGGCCTTCCGTAGATCAACAAAAACCATGAAACCAGAGCAGCGATGTTCATATAGTTTCTCAGATATTTGTCTCACCGCGAAGATCATGTCCGCACAAGATCTGCCTTTGCGGAATCCACACTGCGTGTCTGGCAGGATGTCTTCCACGAGCCGCTGCAATCTTGTCTAGACGAGGCCAGCAACAGCCTTTCCTACCACCTCCAGAAGAGCGATGCCCCTCCAATTGTCACAGCTGGATAGATTTCCTTTTTTTGGTATTGGGACAAGCTGGCAGTCCACCCACTCCTGGGGCACCCGCTCTGCATTCCACACTGTCTGGACAAGGTCCAGTAGTGCCATCATGAGGCCATCCCCACCAGCCTTCAGCAGTTCCGGTAAGATTCCAGAGCCTCCTGCTGCTTTTCCGTTCCGTAGTCGGCGCACAGCTTGCCTAAGCTCTTCCAGAGTAGGTGGATCGGCGAGGTCTTCACACACTTCCTGTTGCTCAATGGTGGCAACAGTTGCAGGTTCATACGAGGTTGGAACATTGTAAACCTTGGAGAAGTGGCAGTGCCATGTGCGGCCCTGATCCGCCGGTGAATTACAGACATTTCCGTTCTCGTCCCGCACAGCGACTGCAGTTACACCCACAAGCCCTCGCCGAGCCGTCTGCATGGTCTTGATACCGGCCCAAATGCGCGCCGAGTCAAAGCGCCCCTTCTCAGTACGTTGTGCCATGGCAGCAAACCAATCATTCTTCGCAGCTCGGGTGGCAGCGCGAGCCCTCGTGCGCACAACACGGTAGCGCGAATACTCTTCCTGATTCCGGCCACTAGTGATCCATGTTCGATAGCATGCATTGCGCGCGTCCAGCAGTGGCCGCAGCCCGTCCTGGCTTTCCGTAAACCAATCAGGCTGCCGTCTCCTCTGATGACCGAGAGTGTCCGCAGCCGCCGCCGTCACCACGTCCCGCATCGCATTCCATTTCTCGTCTACCGTTTCCGCGTCCGCCACTGCATCAATCTTGGCATTGATGTTTTCCTGGTAGTCGTCAACCTTCCTCTGGTGGTTTCCCTCAGCATCTGTCGAAACCACTGCGGGCAGATTATGCACTGCAAATCGTACTCTCTTTGTAGATTTCCGCGGTTTCCACAAGACCCTGCCGAGCCTAAACCTGGCGGCAACAAGACTATGGTCGCTCCCACATTCTGTCGAGCGAATAACCTGAGCATCAGTGCACCAGTGCCGGCTCCCTTGCGCTGTGATGATGAAGTCAATACAATGGACATGTTTAGTTCTGGGATGCTGCCAAGTGCCTATCAATTCCTGCTTTTTCCTGAACCAGGTGTTCGCGATCCAGCATTGATGCATTGCCAGAAACTGAAGTAGCTCCTCTCCAGACGAATTCAGGCAGCCCAAGCCATGTGAGCCACGCACAGCGCTCCAATCATCACCTGGCTCTCCAGATCCCACTCTGGCATTGAAATCTCCAAGTAGAACAAATTTATCTGTGCACGGTATTGAGTTGAGTACTCCTTGCAGAGAGTCATAAAACGCATCCTTTTCACAGCGCTTACTGTTGAATGTTGGCGCATAAGCTGTAACCAGCGACATCCATTCAACCTCTCCACTCGCCAGATCAAACTTCAAGCGTATGGACAACAACCGAGCGGATACTGCGACGAGTTGACAACCTCCTTCGCGCCAGGCCCGAAGCGCATTTCCCCTCAGCACAAACGCAACGCCCTCACCTCGCCGTCTGGGCGCTCCTTCCCCAGGCACAGGCCGACCCGAAGCAATGACCATTGCTCCGTGGACTTGATAGTTTTCCTGACCAAACCAGTGGGTCTCTTGAAGAGCAGCGGCGTCCATCTCCAAGCGTTCCAGATGTTGTACAATTTGATAAAAAAATTTATCGTCGGCAACAATTCCACTCGCGGCAGCCGTCTGATTGTGGCCCTCACTCTCAACCAGAGAGCGTACGTTCCAAGAGCCTATGCTGAATACTCCATGCTGTCGTTTTCTTTGTGCTGTAGATGTCACCACTCGCGGGCTCGCAACGCCTCGCGAAGGCATCTGAGAACGGGACGACGACAAGAGTGTCGACATCAAAAATCGTCGACTAAGTCCGCCGCCGATATTCCCGCCTCAGTATGTTATCCTGGACGGCTGGGGAGGCCCCAGGCCGCCCAGGCCTGTCTCACTATGTCCAGAAACAGTCAGGAGAGGAAGACTTACAGAGAGCAAAAAAAACTCAAACTGTCCCCACCCAAAGCAAGGACAAAACACACACACACACACACACACACACACACACACACACACACATACACACACACACACACACGAGCACACACACACACACACACACACACACACACACACACACACACACACACACACACACACACACACACACACACGCACACACACGCACAGGCACACATGCACACACACACGCACATGCACACACGCATGCACACAAACACTCACACACACACACACTCACACACACACACACACACACATGGACAAACATACACATACATGTACACACACGCAGATGTACATACACACGTGGACATACAAACAGAAGGACACACATGCAGAAACAATGAACAGCTTGTCTTACAGACACACAGATAGACATGTAGGACATACAAACTGATAATTCAGTTGAGACAACCAGACTCTAAACTATCACTAGTTCTTACCCATCTGCTGTCCTGCACATTGACATCAGCTCCACGTCCGATGAGAATATTCGCTAGTCGATCATTTCCATACAATGCACAGTGGTGCAGTAGTGTCCGGTTGTACTGTACACACACATGCACACACACACACACACACACACACACACACACACACACACACACACACACACACGCACACACACACACACACACACACACACACACACACACATACATGCATACACACACGCACATACACACACGCACACACACACACAAACACACACACACACACACACACACATACACGCCCACACACACATACACACGTGCACACACACACACGCACACACACGTGACAGACACACAGTCAGTTGTACATCCCAATGACGCGAAATCTTGAGGCATGTGGACAGACGGATACATGGTACAGAGCAGGGATACAGAAACACTGGAGTGAAACGTCAACCAGACAGACAGACGGACGGACGGACGGACGGACGGACGGACGGACGGACGGACATACAGGCAGGCAGGCAGGCAGGCAGGCAGGCAGGCAGACAGACAGAACAACCATGACGAACCTGAACAGTACTGAGTCTTGTAACAATCAAGAACACAACAACTTACGTCAGTTTCTTCTTGCTCATTCACCTCTACACTATGTACACTAAATATGTAGTGTACAATAGTGTAGAGGATTTCATCACGAAGATGCTGACCCTCACGGCAAATCACAAAAAGGAGCATTGTCTGTGTGATATACAAAACAGAAAAAACGATTTGACAATTACAAAAACGACAGCAACAATACTCTCAGTACAATGCCATCAGGAGTTAGGAAACCTACTGATTGACCTCAGGGGTCAGCGATCCAAACCAGACAAATTGCCATAACTTTATTCCAGCTTGAGAGAAGCTTGCAGCAATTGCACATCTTGTAAAGTTATGTCACATCAACGATTCCCACTGGTCAACAATCACTTGACAATGGTTCAGACAAGAAGACCAGGTGTCACAGAACCCCCCCCCCCCCCCCCCCCCCCACACACACACACACTGTACAGCAACACTCTACTTACTCCCATTGAGTAGCAGCGTGATTTCCATGTCACTTTACGTGATGTGGAGGACAATTGCGGCTGCTCAGGAGGCACAGCAGCCTGAAGACTTTCCGCTGTGGCATTCCGTCGCCGTACCTCCACAGCAAATCCTTCTACTTCTCGACTGGACATGTCTGTACAGGGACAATGCATACGCAACACAGACACACAGACGGACAGACAGACAGACACACACACACAGACAGCCAGACACACAGACAGCCAGACACACAGACAGAGAGACAGAGAACAGACAGACTGACATACACACACAGACACACACACACGTGCACACACATACACACGCACAGATGGACAGACAGATAAAAACAGACAGAACCACATACAGATGGACAGACAAGGAGGACAGAAAATGAGAGCTAAGAGAGACAACAAGTACTCACATACTATGACATACACAATGATCCAAACAAGATTGATCTCACATGTCAATACTTGCATCTACACTGATGCGTACGCACACACATACACACTCATCATGACGTCATACCCAACACCATATTTAGAGTGGAATAACCTTTGACCCCACGTCCACGGACATGCAGCTACGTCAGTCAATGACTGTGTCAGTAGCTGAAAAACGTGAAGACGATCAATGAACGACATCGCGGGGACATCTTCACAACACACTGCACCACAATGCAATTTACCTGTCTCAGCAAAACCACAGAAACCACCGACAAATGTTACACCTCATTACTACAACTGCCTACGACAGCTATCAACGAAAGAATACTGCTCTCCACCTCAAACAACATCAACTCTCGTACCGTTGACAACAAAGAAGAAAACGACAGTTCGAAGAAAGGTCTTCGCACAAAATGAATGGAACAACTTCAACTTCAACTTGACAAGCACGAACAGTTACAGCAGCGAACACTTGATATTTGAACAATCTTCATGTCGATCGCAACTAGAAATATCTATAAATCCTCTTGCTCGTCAAGTCTACCTTCGTTACAAAGAACTGAAATGTACTTCGTCTACAAAAGGTCAATCAGTAGGTCCCTGAATGGCCGTCATTTTGCAACACGGGACAAGGGCAAAGATGGAGACCAACGAGACGACAGTACTAACGAAAATATGGGAAGTAAACGAAGAGAAATAGATGGAGTGCCACCATTTGTAACTTACATTCCTTGCTGGAGAAACGTTGATGACAGTGAAAACGATCTACTTTTCTCTTCTTTCTCACTAAGTGTAGGAAACATGATGAACTTCTCTGGTCTATTGAGAGTTCTGAAAATGGTCTATTCAGTTTCTAACTTGCCATACGGATAAAGTCACCGTTGAACTTCTCCTAGACGAACACGACTACAAGTAGTGAGTCTAAAGGAAAGAGCTGAATTGAAGAAAGTCATCCTTAACGTTTCGTTGAACGTTGTCTTCAAGTAGCAGTGCAGAGAAAAGAAGAAACTAATAACTTGACGTGGAAGCCCGGAGGGCCAACACCTGCAAGAAGGTATTCAGCTGCTTGACGGAATGGTGCAGCAAAGGAGTAACTCACTGTTTGAACTTTGGACTTTGATCTACAGGTCATGAACCGCTACTGAACAATCCACAGTTGCTAACTAGACCGATAAGATGTAGCACTCAGTGCGAGGACAGGGTCAGGGGAGTGAAACGAATGATCCGGTCGCTAACGTGAGCCGTTTTTGAAATACACCCATTATGTCAACCAGGTCAGTCAGTGCAGTACCTGGCGGATTTCTACCAAGCAAGTGCACACACGTTAGTTCTCAAACATGTCACTCAGCCTGATGACCTTGCTCTGTAGTAGGCCTGTCCTGTCCTGTAGAGTCACTGCCGCAAAAGGGTCACGTGATCCCATCACTGGGAAACCTGAGAAGAGAGAGAGAGGACACGACGCTCGATGACGCTCCAGGTGCACGGGTAGTCGCATCCGCTTGCCGCATATGCACACGTGCTGGAAGGCTGAGCGCTCCTCTGCTGTTGGTCTATGAGCCACCCTTGAACAGCGATGCCTTCCCCGTCCCCGGACACCGCGAAAGCAGTGACCACACCTGTCACAATGCGCGGCACAACATCCCTCCGCCGGTGCCGACGCTCCGGTAGTTCCAGGTGGCACTGCGGCATCCACCGTTGAGGCACACACATGCCGGACCAAGCCACCGCGGCTTCTCAGCCACCGCCCACACCGCCCGCACTGACTGGCGCCCCGCTGCTCAGACACAGGCCGCGCACGCTCCTCCAGACACTTATGCCGAGCCATGTCTCCTTTCCGTGCAAAATCCCGTCCGCATACCGTACATACCACTCGGGGCGGAGGCTCAGGCACATTGTCAGGCTCTTGGTAGGTGCTGCGCCACTCCGCGCGAGACCCACATGCAACATCATACCATGATGCCTCCACGCCACGGGCACGTAGATCTCGGACAGCGCAGTCCTTCCATCTGCGGCGTGGGCCATGTGCTGGGCGACGCTGCAAGAAGGAGCCAAACAGTACCTGTTTTGGGATGCGGTTGTCCGGCATCCGCGCCACAGTGTGCTCAAATAGACCTATAGCGCATGATTGTATTTTTACTAGGCCTCAAACGATTAGTCCGATTAAAGGGGAAGTGCATCGATTTTTCAAGTAGGGCTCAGATGAAAGACAATTGGATATCTTTATCGGTTCCGATGGTATATCTCTCGCTTGCGTACGGCAAGGGAAACTTGCCATATCGCCGATTTCCTGATCCCGTTTCCATGGCGACTACAGGTGATGACGCACATTCTGCTTAGCTCCGTGAGAGAGAAGGTCGATCACTGCAGAATTGTGTCATTTTCAGTTGTCTTCTTGTATTCACGAAGTGAAAGAAGTACTGTGTTCAAGGCTGTTAGTGCCGTGAACTGTTTATAAGTAGTAGTCTTCTCCGTTGTGTACTGGGACGTGACACCGACAGGGGAAAGCTGGAGTGCGGAGACGTTAGCTGGCAAGCGAAAATCGTGACGAACCAAGTGCTGAAATCTTGGTTGGGACAAATCAAACGTTCAGCATTTACCTCAACCAAGGACCATGCCGTTTGCTCTTTCCACTTCCTGAAGATGGATGCGCTGCCTGCTGGAGACTCTCCTATCTCTCGTAACATCTTCTGAAGCCAGGTGAGACGACGAGTAGCGGAGATTAGCGAACGAAATAATGTCGTGTGTTTTGAAATTTTGGCTGAACATTTCTCAGGTGAGATGGCGAATACCAAGCATCTTCTCCAAGTCTAGAGAAACCATTTCGTAGGCTACATCCCGCCTAGGGAAATGCAGGAGATGGCCTGGCTGGGGAGGACACACTTGGAGGAGAACGAAGTAAGTGATCTTGTATATGTTGTTCTTTGGTATTGCAATCTTATGTTTGACGAACATACGGCATGGTGCATAGTTGGTCGTTGAGTGCCTGCATGTGCATGTGTAAGTGTGTGCTGATAAACACTTCCTATGCAAGAATCTGACACTCATGCTCTCTTTCTTTCTTGCAGTATGTGCGCACGTGTGTGTGTGTGTGTGTGTGTGTGTGTGAGAGAGAGAGAGTGTGTGTGTGTGCAGGAGCAGCGTGGAGCATGCCAGTGTGATCGCTGTGGCCGTTGCTTTCTTAGCTGTGGCGTTCTTGCCCGTCACAAGTGTGTGGCTCAGCCCACCAACGACAGTGGAGCCGTGTTGTGGTGAATACTGTGTGTCCTGCGACCGCTGCTTCCGTTCGGTCCAGGGCAGGAATAGACACCGCTGCTGAAGCTCTCCCCGGCCGCACGTCAGTCTCGTGGCAGATGACCCAAACTCTCATTTTGTGTGTATGTGTGTATGTGTGTGTATGTATGTGTGTGTGTGTGTGTGTGTGTGTGTGTGTGTGTGTGTGTGTGTGTGTGTGGTGTATGTATATGTATGTGTGTTGCTCCCTACGTAGACAAACTCTTGTTTTTGTGTCCCGGGCGCCATGGGGCGGCGTTCTCCCATTCTCTCTCCACTGCCCCTCCGGGCCCACGTGGCAGTGACTCGACAGGGCAGGACAAGTGTGTGTATGGTGCATTTTGTGTGCTGGCATGTCTGTATAAATATGTTGGACAGGAATTTGTTCACCCACAACGTTCACGGAAAACCATGCTAGGTGTTGCTGGAACGTATGGAGTCTGCGAGCACTTACAATAACTTACGTCATGTCACAACAAAGAACGGTGCAGTGTTTGACCATCATGTAAACACGATGGTGATGGTACCTCACCTAAGCTACCCATGAAGCTAGAAAGAACATCAGGTCAACAGAATTTTACCAGAGGAAAGCATATATTGCCCGAACTTCTTCATATGAAATAAACAATACCCTTCTCCATGGAGACAACATGCAGATGAAGTGTATGGACAAATAATTATATAAATAGGCCATTCATTGAGGGCATGGAATGATCTCTACGTGTAGATTGGATAGACACATGCACGTCTGCAAGGAAAGCATTTGTTCCTGGGTTAGTTCATGGGCTGATTGAGTTCACATGGACTAAGTTCATACATGCCATCTCTCCTGAGATATGTTCAGCCAAAATTTCAAAACATACGACATTATTTCGTTCGGTTATCTCCGCATATGGCCGATTGGTTTGCAGGCTTGCCTGCGAATCATGAGGTCCCGAGTTCGAGACCCGCGCTGGTAGCAGGGAGCGTGTAAAGACTTTTTACGTGAGTAAAGACTTTTTATGCGTGGTGAACTGCGCCGACACCCACGGTCAACTGGGTACTCACAGCTCGGAGTGAGGGTAACAAGGATGCAGTTTACAGGGTTATGGGCCGTTACACGCCCGATTGGTTGAGAGACTCACCTACTCTCCCCTGACTCACTTGTGAGGTCTGCATTCGCCACTAAGGTGTGCAAGGCATAGGCATAGTGGTGGCCTGCGGAAGCGAAGGCTAGTTTGTGTGTTTCTGAACATTCAAGCGATGCCAACGCGAATCCCGCGAATTATTATTATTATTATTATTATCTCCGCTACTCGTCGTCTCACCTGGCTTCAGAAGATGTTACGAGAGATAGGAGAGTCTCCAGCAGGCAGCGCATCCATCTTCAGGAAGTGGAAAGAGCAAACGGCATGGTCCTTGGTTGAGGTAAATGCTGAACGTTTGATTTGTCCCAACCAAGATTCCAGCACTTGGTTCGTCACGATTTTCGCTTGCCAGCTAACGTCTCCGCACTCCAGCTTTCCCCTGTCGGTGTCACGTCCCAGTACACAACGGAGAGGACTACTAATAAACAGTTCACGGCACTAACAGCCTTGAACACAGTACTTCTTTCACTTCGTGAATACAAGAAGACAACTGAAAATGACACAATTCTGCAGTGATCGACCTTCTCTCTCACGGAGCTAAGCAGAATGTGCGTCATCACCTGTAGTCGCCATGGAAACGGGATCAGGAAATCGGCGATATGGCAAGTTTCCCTTGCCGTACGCAAGCGAGAGATATACCATCGGAACCGATATCCAATTGTCTTTCATCTGAGCCCTACTTGAAAAATCGATGCACTTCCCCTTTAACCGGTTGCAGACCGGTTACGAAGAATTAACGGTTAACCGATAAAGATAACGGTTACGCAGTAACTTTTTAGTCAATTTTTCAAGTATCAGATCGTTGCAAAGTGTGCACTTTCGCGGGCTGTCGCACGCGTACGCAATTTCTGGGCTGTCAACTCGGTCATATCTGGTCTCTTGGTGTGAGAGTATGTATGAATGAGCATGCAAGAGAATGTACAAGTGTGCGTTGTACTGAATAGGGTACATTTTTTGAATGAGTATAGTCAAATGTACGGTTAAAAAAGAGTCCGCAGGATTGCCGTGGCTTATAGGTTATAACCGACCGTTAGCTTAGCAGTTAACCGTCAGGGGTAAATCCGTGACCGTTTTAGCCCTATTTTTTACTTACTGAGTGAGTTGTCCGTTCGGTGAAATCTTCCTCAAACGTTTGCGGTCTGGGCTGACTGGAGTAAGTAGGTCGTTTAGAGAAGGAGAGCGTTGTGCTGAACTTGTTAATCACTGAGAGAGCGTTGTGCTGAACTTGTTATTCACTGAGAGAGCGTTGTAGCCACCACAGACTGATTAGTAGTTGAGAGAACGAGTAACAATGACTGGAAAGGATAATGCACGACTAACAAAGGTAGGTAGGCACTGTTCAACAACACTAGAAGACGTTTACAACAAATGAGAAAGGGAGGGAGACGAAAACGGACAACTGGACTGTGTCGTGAGAAATGGAAGACTGAGCTGTGCCGACCGAATAGCGATGTGATCTAATGTTTGAACGAATCGTGCTTTACATGCATGTGGTAAATGGCAAGAGATGCTCACCGTCTGGCAGACCACGGACGGCCATCTACTCATACATTACTCATACTGGTTTAGCTTTGTGGCTGTGTGCCTTAGCTTAGCGAGAACTCAGGCATCTCGTGTCCGCAGCACTGCGTGTGCGCTTGTGTCGTGGTTTGTCACGTGATATTCTGCACGTCTGCACGATGTCGTCGCTCTCTGCACAGACCGAGACCATAACAGGTGTTGTTTACATTGCAATTGGTGACCAGAATCACATTCACACATGTAGACTACACACATAATGGGGACCTACCCCATTACCACGTAACAACACTACCTGTAACCAATCACGATTCAATTTTTTTAAATTTTTTTTACTAAGTACACCACAACCTACTCGTCAGAATGCTACGCTCTTCTCATCAAACACGGACAAAGAGCTGATGACATCATGTCTTAGGGTACAGTCCCATACAGACCAGGGTGGTGTTGGTGTTGTCAATCTGATTGTCGTAAAATTCTACTTTATAACTGGTTGTTGCCAAACACGTGTCGTCATAATGACATGACGTCACTGAGCAACTTGACAATGTAGACACTGTAGTAGCTGCTTGTGTGTGGTCTGGTGTACAACTCAGCAACAGACTGTACATTTGGCTGATCGTGGATCAACAGGGCAGGTCTAATACTATGTACTCTACTATGTGTTGGCGTGAAATGGTGTGTTGGAGTGCTTTTGCTGTTGTTGCTGTTGCTGTTGCTGTTGCTGTTGTTGTTGCTGTTGCTGTTGTTGTTGTTGTTGTTGTTGTTGTTGTTGTTGTTGTTGTTGTTGTTGTTGTTGTTGTTGTTGTTGTTGTTGTTGTTGTTGTTGTTGTTGTTGCTGTTGCTGTTGCTGTTGCTGTTGCTGTTGCTGTTGCTGTTGCTGTTGCTGTTGCTGTTGCTGTTGCTGTTGCTGTTGCTGTTGCTGTTGCTGTTGCTGTTGCTGTTGCTGTTGCTGTTGTTGTTGTTGTTGTTGTTGTTGTTGTTGTTGTTGTTGTTGTTGTTGTTGTTGTTGCTGTTGCTGTTGTTGCTGTTGTGGTTGTCATCTTTGTCGTCGCCGTCGTCGTCGTCATCGCCGTGGTTGTTGTTGTTGTTGTTGTTTCAAATCTTTATTCTCACGATAGCCAGTGGCCAATAAGAGATAATAGTGTAAGAAAGGAGAAAGAGTGAGGAAGAATTGGGTGGGCAGGGCCTAGGGGTTAATGACTACTTACATGTACGGGCAGGGGTGGTCGCTACACGAGCATACAGAGTTGTGTGCTTAAGTCTACGGGCAGGGGTGGTCGCTACATGAGCATTAGGCCTTGGCGGATAGTGCCGACAGAAAAATTGGCAGAATTCGGTACTTTTTCTGGTAAGTTTCATGCATGTTTGGTATGTGGATAAAGAAATGGAGCAGAATTCGAGGAATTGCCCGCCATAAGGTTTGTATGGTTCTGCCAATTTCGGTGCAAAAAAAGCAGAATCTGCCACCTTTTCGAGCATTATCCCCCAAGGCCTAATGAGCATACAGAGTTGTGCAACAGCAGGGATATCTCGGATTTGAAGGGAGTACGAGGAGGGATTTCGCGAAGCTGGGCGGGCAAGCAATTAAGGTAATGAAGGGCCTTGTACAGGGGAGAATGGAGACAGCGGTCAGTCCGCGGAGTTGGCAAGTGCCAAGTACGAGAGCGACGTAAATTATACGAAGGTTGCACGTTGCTAGCAGTATGCAGCGAGAGTATATGTGGTGGGGCATAATTATGGCGCAGAGAATGCGCGAAGAGTATATGTTTAACTTTAAAGCGTGAAAATAATGTTGGCCATTTGATGCGATGCAAAAGGTGGGAGTGTTCTAAGTGTGTGTAAAGGGGAAGGTGGAGACATATTCTGGCGGCTTTCCGCTGGAGTTGTTGTTGTTGTTGTTGTTGTTGTTGTTGTTGTTGTTGTTGTTGTTGTTGTTGTTGTTGTTTCAAATGTTTATTCTCACGATAGCCAGTGGCCAATAAGAGATAATAGTTTAAGAAAGGGGAAAGAGTGAGGAAGAATTGGGTGGGCAGGGCCTAGGGGTTAATGACTACTTTTTAAGTGTACGGGCAGGGGTGGTCGCTACACGAGCATACAGAGTTGCGTACTTAAGTGTACGGGCAGGGGTGGTCGCTACACGAGCATACAGAGTTGTGCAACAGCAGGGATATCTCGGATTTGAAGGGAGTACGAGAAGGGATTTCGCGAAGCTGGGTGGGCAGGCAATTAAAGTAATGAAGGGCCTTGTACAGGGGAGAATGGAGACAGCGGTCAGTCCGCGGAGTTGGCAAGTGCCAAGTACGAGAGCGACGTAAATTATACAAAGGTTGCACGTTGCTTGTTGTTGTTGTTGTTGCTGTTGTTGTTGTTGTTGTTGTTGTTGTTGTTGTTGTTGTTGTTGTTGTTCTTGTTGTTGTTGTTGTTGTTGTTGTTGTTGTTGTTGTTGTTGTTGTTGTTGTTGTTGTTGCTACTGTTGTTGCTGTCTTTTCCTCTGGCTGTGATAGTGTGAATGTGCGTGCAGCGTGCAGGTATGATCAGTTTCTGTCATTGTTGTGAACCCTTCTGGTCCTCTAATAGTCAGGAACGAACGACCACTCGGCATGAGGACAACTATTTACTCTTCAACAGTATATTTCACTTCGATCGACTAATAACAACTAACACTAAAACCACCAGGTAGTTATAGCGTGAAAATGACAGCGTATAATTATGAGAAGAGCATACACATCCAAAATACAACTACAGCGCACACAGCAAACCGCACATAGCGCATGTAGCGTATACCACGTCGTAATCATCAGTGGTACGGCGGAGTCGAGATACAACTGCATTGGAACGAGCACAATGTCACAAGCAGGGAGTCGTAAAATAGTATTTTACGACTCCCTGGTCACAAGCGAGAAGGCCTTTCACATTTGAGAACTTGTGGTTTCATAACAGTCATTTCCTGAGTACTTCTATAGCCTTGGCTATTTTGCTTTGTGATATTCTTCTGTCCGTTCCTGTCCTTGTGTTTCCTTTCCCCTTTGCTTCTTTTCTTCCGTATTCGTCTTTGTACCATTGGACCCAGTTACCCTTTCACGTGACAAGTTAAATAAACATAACGAACAAACAAATTTAACAAATGAATAAACAAACATTGTATGTAGAACGGACAAGTCCAGTCCTACACATGGTGCAGTGACGTCATGTCCTGGCTACTGATCCACCATCAGATTGCAGTGGCCGCTAACTAACGGTGTTACTTCCATGCGTATCTCACTTCATGTACTATAGCTTTTTGCTATCAAACTTATCTGCTCCTGTGTATGTTTAACAGTGTAGTACTTTCCGGCTCACTTTTCTTCTCTTCTTCCTTTGATTAATTTAAAATTGTTATTATGTAAAATGTGCCATTGTGTTGAAAATCAACGTGTATTGTGTTTTTGTGCCAATGAAAAGGGCTGTCCTAATAAATACACTACAAAGGCTGTTGTACTTTTAAAAGACTTTAGGCTGTACATTTTACTACAGAGTTTTGCCTTCAATCGTCGTGACGTCATTACACATAACACTACACATAACAACCCAGTGGCATTGAGTTCAGAATGGAAACTTTTACCAATAGAATACACAGTCTTGAGATACAGAGCCGGCTCCTGAAGGGTGGTATGGCCCCAGGTCGGTTACAGGGACACTCATTTGCCAATACTCAATGTCAGTACAATGGGAGTGTGCATCTCTAGCTCTGTGCGGTATCATATCTGGTAGTTCCAGCTACACATTGGGCCTCCAGCTACTGACACAGCCAGCACATTTGCAGCGGATCACGTTAGAAAATCATTTCCTTCTTACATGACTTGTAGAAAAAGACGTTTTGTCTGAGGTTTTCCCAAATGTTCACTATGAGATGAACAGCAGTGTAAAATACAGACTTCACTGTATGTAAGCTATGCTACACATCAACACTGTCTAACTACATCGTCACACAATCAACCACTACGTCATTGACTAAGAGTGGTCACGTGACATTCATGGACATCATCATTGCTATCATTAACACACACACACTTACAAGCTACGTAGAACACAGAAACGCAGTGTATGATATCACGTGACGGAGACTGGCTCAATCATAGTCAATGACTCAGATTAAACATTCTTACAGCAGCTTGCGTTCACCAGCATGGCCAAATTTCCCTGTTGGATAATGTTTTCTAAGTTCCTTCATCGCTAGTACGTATAAGTAGTTTTGTTCTCACTAGGATCTGTGTTGAGATGATGAGCCGACAAAGTACCAAACACTTTAGTCAGTCTGTGACTGAAAATGGTCTGAGAAACTTTCTTTACTGGTATGGAGTCATAATTTCACGACATTCCTGTTTGTCCATTGCTGTTGGAAATGAACAGATCTGGGTAGTGTGGTTTGAACACAAACTTCGTAACTACACGTACCTGATTGTAGTATGTAAGTTTGACGATGACAGTGTGAACAAGGTGGACTACCCACTGTATGGGAAAACACTACTCCAGGCTCACTGCAAACATACACCGGTTGCCGGGTAGGGTCTCGATCCTGTGCCCATTTGAACCGTATGGGCTATGCTACTGTTCAGACACTCATTACTCTATTGGAGCATTATAGGACTATTCCCTGATCTCGTGGTTCAAATTGTCGCAAGACCGGGCCCGCCAACCAGTTTATGGTTTCAGTCAGGAACACTGTTTTCCTATACTGTGGGTCCTCCGCCTTGTTCACGCTGTCATCGTGAAACACATGTATTAGTCCCTGGATTAAAGAGGGACGACTGTAGTGGTACCGAATACTACCGATTACCTGGAATGGAGTCAGTGACTCACTGGTTCATTCATTGATAGCCCTTGGTGGATTATGCCGGCATAATATTTGGCATAATCTTGGGATTTCGTCAAAAAATTATGCTCCGGCATAATATACGGATTCCAACGTGTAACATCGGCATAATCTTTCGGTTTAGACAAAAATTATGCTTAGGGGCATAATACAGCTTTGTCAGAAAGCCTGCAGATGTTTTTTTTAATACCCCAGTTACGACTCCTTGTCATAGCCCTTGGCGGATTATGCCGGCATAATATTTGGCATAATCTTGGGATTTCGTCCAAAAATTATGCTCCGGCATATGATTATACCGACCTTACACGCTGGAATC